TTTATAAGATTTGTTTTAGATTGCCCAGAATCACTTTATATAAAGTTAAAGAATAAGAGCTAAGAGAGCATTGAAGTACCAGATGGAGGTACTTAGCTTAAGATGGGAAATGGTAGACAGAATCACGACAAAGTGCAGGGCTGTTAGCTAATTGTGTTTCCCTTTGCATAATTATTGTAATTAAACAAAGAACCAAACTCTCACTTCATTTCAAAGGTAATGTCTGCTTAGGCTGAGAAGCATGGAGAGACAATTGGCCTCTGGTTCTGTTTAAATACTACAAATAGTCCAGCTTAGTATCAATTTACTGTATATATACATGTATATGCAACAGTCTTTGCTTTGGGCTAATTTTGAGTGGAGGTGATATGAATTTGTTCCCTGCCAGGTTTTACCCAATAATATGTTTGTTTTTTTCTCCAGCACTGTATGGTAAACTTTATGGTAAAGCACATTAATCTGCATGTTTGAGATGTTTTGCATTTTAAACGTTCTGAGTTCAGCTGACTGCTGATCCAAAGGCTTTGATGAACAGCAATCATCTGAATCATCTAAAGCAGAGAAAAAAAAAATAAAAAATCACCCAGGGCCTGGGTAAAAAAAAAAAAAAATATATTGTTATAAGGGAGAAGAAACATGATGAAGCTTAATTACTGTGGTTCAAATTGGGCTAGTTTAACTTCACTTTGTTTCTTTCTTTTTATTTATTTATTATTTTATTTACCAATAAAAAAAAAAATTGTGAGACTTTAAATCTCTTTTACAAGGATGATTCCCAGGCACATATACAAGATAGAAACAAGCCATTACATTTACAAACTTAAACTGTGTTTTTAGATCATTCGCAAAAACAAAGTATAAAACTAAAAAAGTTTAACACTTAAATCTGTGTGGTTTTGTATTCAGACCACACAACTAGGTATAAAATGATAAAACAGAGAACATATTTTGTGTCATTTGGAGCAGTAGGTATCCTTAGTAAATTACAAGATCAGATAAACGCATACACCATAAATAAGCACGAATACATAAGAATAAAATCCAACAAATAAATGGAAATAACTCAGAATAAACCAAATACAACCCATGCACATGTCATCTTTTTTTATTTATAAATTCTAATTAGGATAAATGAATAAAAATGACATTGTCGCCTTGGTGGTGCTTTGACAAAGAATGGTGGCATAACATTGTCCCCTTTGGTAAATGTCAAGGTTTTGTTCAGCCTCTGCCTGAACTTATAAATGACCTTATTAGACCTTATTATGTGCAGAAAAGGAAGGCCCTCGCTGTTTATCCTCTTTCATCTCTTCTTCAACCTTATTCTCTCTTTCCTTTGTTCATTTTATGTTTACTACTTTCCTCCGCAGTAAATGTGAGAAGACAGCTTCTTCAAACAAAAATATAAAGCATGGCACAAGAGTTTATGTAGCAAATACAAATAAATTTAAGGTGATTCAACTGTATAGTTGGGTAAAAAAAAATAAAAAATAGATTTAGTTAGATGATTGTTCCACTAAATTACCAGTCCCTTAAATATATAATTTTAAACTTTGATGTTGTCTAAACAACTTGAATGAAACAAGATGCAAATTCAAAGAGAAATGTGCCTCATGTAAGCATTAAAGCTACTTTGAAAATAAATGTTATGCGCTAACCATATTTCAATTAATTATTTTGATTAGGGCTATATTTCCTGAAGCTCACTAAGGTTTTTTCATCATAACTTTTTATCTTTAGATATTCCACTCTACCTTCGATTTCCAAGGACTCACTGAATCTACTTGACATTCACACCCATATCATCTGTTCCTTTTCTGGTCTCAGTGCGTTCACGCTTGAATGCATCTTGGTGTTCTAATTTATCAAGAAAACCTATGTCATCTTGTCCCCTGGTGCTGCCAACTAGCTAGTAAGCACCTTCTTACACTTTGGGCATGCAGCTCCACAGGCCCAAAACACCCGTTTTCATCTACATGCCTTAAACTATAAAACTTTGTAACACATTTTAAAAATGAAATAATGTCTGCTGTGTTTTATCCAGTAATTGGAAACAATGTATGTAGCAGTTAAACAGCAGAACCTTTTTGTCATATAGGCAGCATTTAAAATATATTTATATATATATAATATGTATATATATATATATATATTTATTTATTTATTTATTTATTTATTTATTTATTTAATTTGAAGCAAATACTGATTTGCATAAAATGATATTGCAACCAGCCTATGCTTAAAACCAAGATTACTTTACATTGTAGTGTTGGGTTCGAAATGTTAAAAATTATCCAGGAGAATTGAATGAAAAGGTGTGTTATTTTGTTTATAAGAAAATCTAAAGCTGTTTTTATCTTGTTTCCCAACCTAAAATAATTCACTAAATACAGCTAATAATCACTTTACTACATACACACCTTTGGTTGAAATATATTTGACTTTCATTGCATTTTGACTTTCTTCATGTTATAGATTTGTGATCTTTAATTTACAGAATCCTTTAACTTTCATACAAGGAACAACTAAACTATAGCTGCATACTGACATTCCTGACCTCACCATCTGAATCCTGCACCTAAAGTTAAGACTCATTAATCCAAACAAACTTCTATTGTTCCATGCTGATGAATATGTGCAATTTATCAACACTTTCAAAGTATGAAAACTGGTGCTTAGCATGGTCCTCAACTTGCGGCCACAAAAAAGGTAAGAACATTAATAACACCTGTTAAAGAGGCAAATTGTCAGTTATAATAATTTGACCTCTATTTATGAGATTGGTTGCACTCGATTAAAACAACTGATAAATTAACAATAACCTCCGATTAGTTAATATATATTCACAATCAAACTGGTCAAATTGGACAACACAAGTCATCTTAACATCTACACCTCACTGAATAAGCTTTCTGTTTCAGAGCAATCTCCATAAACCAGAAGAGAGGTGGTATGACAAACCTAACAGAATTCACATTCATTGTCATTTATTTCAGTAAATGTAAAAAAGCTAGATTTGTAAAGATCTTTCATTAACAAATGGTTCATATTCAAAATGTGTTATATTGAACAAAGAAGGTTAAAATACCACATACATGGCTGATATTGAAAGAGTGAGGCACAGCTTTGGTTACAGCTTAGTGCCTTTGTATATCTACAGGTGAAAGATGAAAAAAAAAAAACAAGTAGTGAATCAAAGATCTACAGTTAGTGAGATCGGAGTGGATCTTCATAGGAATATTTATGTTATATCTTTATACTAATGCTGTTTGGCAACCAATTACATCTGTATTTAAATGTCTATTCAGCCTATAATTGAAAATGACACTGAATGCCTGACTACAGGACAGTTTGATTAAATGAAAAATGTCATACTCTAGTCTTGACTTGAGCATCTATTGTTGGGGAGGATAAATTATGAATATCAATAGAGTAAGACTGATTAGAACATAGCGATTTATGCAATATAATACATTCATTATATGTAAATGCATCACAGTTGTACTAATGTTTAAATGAAATGGTTCACACAGCATAGCCAACCATTGTATATGTAACAATATACACGTTTATTAATCATCCTTTGCTTTAATATACACGACATGTATGTCTTATGCATGTGTTTGTTTGATTCAAATGTTTTGGCTTAATAAAAGGAACTCTGATATCAAGCACTTGCACGGTCAAATGAGATGCAATTTCTAACAGGTAGCAAGAGATGGAAGGTTAGTTAAAGCTGGAGGTTCATTTAAGCTCCTGGTTTAAGCCAATCCCTATCTGAATAAGTAAATAATAGAGCCCCTATATAAAAACGCTGCTAAGAAAAAATAAAGCAAAAATGTGGGATGTGAGAGGGAGGAGGGGAAATAGAGGAGGGGAGCAGCATGAGCAAGTGAGTAAGCGATCAAGGGAAAGGGAGCGAGTGAGTGAGAGAAAGAGAGCGAGAACTGAATTGTGAGTGGCTTACGACACTCAGTGAACAGAAGGTGCTTCTGCATGCGCTGTCAGTGTACTAGTCTGCTGCAAGGGATTGCTTGCTCCTTCGCTTCCCACATTTAACGCCCCTGCCTGCCGGACCAGCTCCAGCCTCCAGCAGCCTCTTCCACTGGGCTGACAAAACATTCGGAGATGAATGGAGTGAGCAAAACCTGCTAACCACAGGGGATGTAAGTCGGCTATAAACCGATACCAGCCACTGGAATGACAAGGAATTCTGTTACACAAGAAAACTGAGAGAAGGATTCTCCAATGTTTTTTTTTTTTTTCTCATGCTTTTGTCACAGGAGACATGATTAACATCTTAAATGGATTTAAACCTTCAAAGTAAGGGATTTCTGAGACGGACAACCATACATTTTGAGAGATCTGCTTAAACTTAATCAGAGAGGAGGAGAAAAGACTGATGCTCAGAAATTATTCCTCATCGTTTTTTCTTGTTGCTTTGGTTGTCTCTTCTTCCCTCTGATCCTTGCAGCAGAAGACTGCAGAGGAGCAAAGAGACAGAGCTCATGCATGCAGACAGGGGAACTTGCACTTCCTACCATCTCGCTGAAAGCTACTTGGATTCTTCCTCTTTCTGGCTCTTTCACTTGAAGAGAACTAAGACATTGTAAGCCTGCCAAGGATCTGGTTTCCACTGAAAAGAGAAAAGGCGGGGGGGGGGGAGAATGTGTGCCACAGTGGGGTCTTTTTCAGATTCGTACATAATTAGTGTTGGGGCACAAAGCAAGATGCTGAATGGAGATTGTCAGCTTTTTGATAGGGGTGAGTAGGAATATTTTTGAATAAGAGCTACTGCAAAGGACAGCTTCATCTTTCATCCCCTCTCCTCTCCACCCACTGCCGAATATCTCTCATAGGCAAAGAGAGTTGCTCCTAATTATTTCCTTTTGGGAAAAAATACCTCTCATTGGACTGAATGAGATTGATATATCCATCTCTGCAAATAAAATACAAAGACTGGATCAAATCATTTGTTTGATTATGTAATATGTAAAAAAAAAAAAAAAAAAAAAGATATCTGAAAGGAGCAAAACAATATCCAGAGTGGTTCAATGGACATTTTCTCCCCGACATTCCTGGATATTTATGCTAATGGATTTCCTCCTAATTGGACTGTACTTAAAGTGGCCACTGAAGAAACCCCCTGGGTTGATACTGTATTCATTGGGTATTTTTTTGAGAACTGTTCCTTTAGCAGAGGCAGTTTGTCCAAAGCTGTGCCGCTGCGACAGCAAGCTGCTGTATTGCGAGGGGCTCAACCTGACAGACATCCCCCGCAATTTGAGCAGTGCCATGGGCCTGTCCATGAGAGAGAACAACTTGACCGAGCTGCGTGAAGGCCAGCTAGCTGGTCTGTCACAGTTAACCTGGCTCTATTTAGATCATAACAACATTGACATTGTAGAGGAGGGTGCATTTGAGAAGCTGAGACGGGTCAAGGAGTTGGACCTGAGCAGTAATCGGATTGAAAGTCTGCCAAATGGTACCTTCAGGCCCCTCCCAAACCTTCGCATTTTGGATCTCTCATACAACAGGCTACAGGCCCTCGAGCCTGACCTGTTCCATGGCCTTAGAAAGCTTACCAATTTGCATTTACGTTACAACAATCTCAAATTTGTGCCAGTGCGTATTTTTCAAGACTGCAGGAGCATGCAGTTTCTGGATTTGGGATACAACCAACTGCAGGTTTTGGCTAGGAATTCCTTTGCTGGCCTATTCAAATTGACTGAGTTGCATCTTGAGCACAATGAGCTGGTCAAAGTCAACCTAGCCCACTTCCCTCGTCTTATCTCTTTACGCACCCTCTACATGCACAACAATCATGCCACAATTGTTGTCAACACACTGGAGTGGACCTGGCAATATTTAGAGAAGATTGACCTTTCAGCCAATGAAATTGAGTACATTGAGCCACATGTTTTTGAGAGTACTCCCAACCTCAAAGTCCTGATGCTTGACTCGAATCGTCTGACTTATTTGGACCAGCGCATCCTGGATTCATGGTCGTCTCTGGACAGCATTACCCTGGCAGGCAATGACTGGGAATGCAGCCGCAATGTCTGTGCCTTGGCCTCTTGGCTGAGTGCTTTCAGAGGCCAGCGTGACAGCTCCCTGCTGTGTTCAAGCCCTGACACGGCACAGGGTGAGGATGTTTTGGATGCAGTCTATGCTTTTCAGCTATGTGAGGATTCACCAGCAGAAGCAACCACAGCGGGCCTGTATGCCTCAACAAGAGATCTGGCCAAGGGTGGTTCTGTGTTTCTAGGCCTTTTTACCCCAAATCCCTATGAGGGTGAGGGTAGTGAGGTGATAACAAGTTCTTATACTGTTACAGTGGGCCAAGATGACCTGGACAGCACCATGCAGATCCACAAGGTAGTGACTGGTACTATGGCACTCATCTTTTCTTTTCTTATCTTAGTTCTCATGTTATATGTGGCATGGAAGTGCTTTCCAGCTGGAATAAGGCAACTGAGACAGTGCTTCAGCAGCCAGCGCCGTAAGCAGAAGCAAAAGCAAAGCATGCAGCAGATGGCTGCAATTTCTACACCAGAGTACTATGTTGACTATAAACCTAACCACATTGAGGGAGCTTTGGTAATCATTAACGAGTATGGCTCTTGCACCTGCCAACAACAACCTTCACGAGAGTGTGAGGTGTGACTTTGCTTTTTTCACTACATCTTTACCTGTGATTATATGGATTTACACTAAATCCCTTTTAGGATACCTAAGAGAGGGAGATGCTGTAAAACAAAAGGGAATAATTTCATCTCGGACACTTTTTACACAGCTTTTCACTGTGATGCGAAGGGAGTACGATGTACCTACCAGACTATGGTGGATTTACCGATACAGCTGTTTTGAAATCAAAAGGCATATTAGGCACCTGTCAATGGGACTTGTTGATGCCCTAAAACCCCACAGAGAGGAACATGTTTTGTGCACTGGGGGCTTTTCTCTCATGAAAGAATGTTTGAGCTTTAATGTCTCTTTCTATTTCAGAACATTAAAAAAAAAATGTTTAAAGACAAACTGGGACGAACAAAAAGACATAAAATAAGAAAAAGAAAAACAGTAAACCATTTGTATTATGGTACATACACTATTTGAGGAGCATTTAAAATATGAAAAAAATGTTTAATAAAAAAAAAAATGTAAAAATAAAAGTCTGTGTAAAATATGAAAAAAGAAGCGCAAGTGTGGACTAAAGTGAAAAAAAAATGATAATCTATTTCTTTTGTAAAGTACAAAAAATGTTTAAATAAATGAAACACTATTCACAGTAAACTCATTTGTATGTGAGAAGCCTGTCACAGAGGAGGAGGAACAATAGACGCAGTCTTTTTGCTCATGGACCAGAGAGCCATGATTCTGCACTGTATCAAACCGAAAAGAAATGATGAAATACTGGGGAAAAAAAGTAAAAAATGAATAAGGCAAACAAAAATCTGCATCTCATCACCAACTCAAACTGCTTCAGCCACATTTACTGGTTTGCCATTAATTTTTTGACTTGTTATCAGCATAGTTTTTTCTCATCCCCTCATTTTGAACATATTTACAATAATCAATTTCATTTTTGTAAGCATGCTGTAATTACATTACGTCACTAAATGTATTGCATTGAAGTAAAAAAAAAGGCAGAACAACTCTCATTAATTTTTGGCTGTCATAGAGTAGAGTTTCCACATTTTTCTCTTATAAACACATAAATCCATCAATCATTGACATCATGCACATGTAGTTAAAAATGTATTTCAACTAGTGTCCAAACTCCTGATGAAATTTCCACCAGCTTCAAGCAATATTTGCACATGCGGTGTTTACCACTGTGTTTTCATGTGTTATAAAATGTTTGTTGAATACAAGGCCATGTAGAGGTGTGTATGTGTGTGTAAATCCTTCCTCTGGTCTTCACTGTGTAAATTAGCGCACTAAGAGATGTGGCATTTCCTGGCTCCTGTAAAATGAACAGTGTGCTGCGTGAAATGGGGTTGGGGGTTTTGATGGGTAGGTGGGTGTGGTGGGAGGTGGGGGGTTGATCACAATAACTGTAGAAAGAGGTAACACACTGCTCTCTAGTGTGCATATTCTCCTACTGTGACTGCATCTTACATTCTGTTCACCGTGTTCTGCAGATTCCTACGGCAGGGGCAGCGTAGGTATACCAAAATTGCAAATGCTTTTCTGTGAAAACGATAATTTTGCATCATTCTGTGATATTTTGAGATAAATAAAAAAAAAATAGATGTTTATGAATTCTAAGTCAGCGAGAATAAATGTGTTATGAGAAATCACTGATAATCATTACACCCCTCCCCAGTTTCAAAAAAAGTACTTTGACAAACTTCTCAAATATGAACAAAAGAAAAATTCTTAGCATAGATGGTAATCATGCATTCCCAATGAATATGCATTGAAAGGATCCAAAAGAATCAGGTCAGGGTGAAGAATGGTTTGATTTGGTTTAAACTGTTGGAACATGTTAGAGGTGATACAAAGCCTGGAGCTAAGATCAGCCTAATGAGGAGTGATAAGGATTAATGGTCCCACAGGCAATCAGGTCTGAATGTGGGGGGAAAGAATTTGGAAGTAAATTAGGATAGTCTTAACATTTAATACTACACATTTTGAAATATAATATATGTATCCGTCAGATGGTTTTTGCAATTAATTTTGACATCACCTAATTTTCTTTTCTTTTTTTTTGTTAAAAAAGCTTAAACTTAGCACACATATTCTTGTGTCTTTTAAAGAAAATACTATTGGAAGTCTAAAAGGGTCATATGAGGGTCAAGGAGGTTTTAGTTTGTTTTAGCTTGGTGGAACATGTTAGAGGTGAAACAAAGCCTAGAGGTAAGCTTAGCCTGAAGTGAAGAGATGAGGATTTAATTGCCCTGAGGCAATTATGTGTCTGAATGTTCAACAGGAAAGAAATTTGTCAGTAATTTAAAATAACTGTATCTTAATAATTTGGTTCCCATCATAATGACACAGAACATATGTTGATGAACTTGAATACAAATTTTAATGTATATTTTTTTTGACAGTGCTGTCTGTAAAATGAAGTTCCAGAAATAATATTTAATTTGAAAATTTTTATTTTAGGCAAACGCCTTAGTGATAATATAAAAGTAATGTATAGGACTAATGGGGCAAAAAATAGGCTACAGTATAGACATACAACCAACTACATGCTCTTCCCCTCTTGGCTGATATCCACTAAAACTACTAATATGTCCTTATTGAGGAGAGGGGCTATGTTTAAGGTATATGTTTGGTGTTACACTGGAAATATGTTCAGTTTACTCTGGTTCTATCAGCATTTATCTACACACACATAACTCTTTCAAGCTTCATTGGAATCTAAACACCATATAAAATAACCTCAGCTAAGCAAGCTGCATTAATGATTACTCTTGCACAAGTTATTAAAACAGGTTAAAAAAGTGTAAATTTTCTTGTCAAACATGCCATGCAGTTTCCCCAAAGTCATATGGCAATGTTGTGTCATGTAAAACATTGATTAACTCCCATAAACACATTTATTGTCAGAATGAGGTGCTAAAGTAGCAAAACCACCTCCCACTGCAGATTTTTTGCCTTGAGTCGTGTTTTTAGGGAACGATAATGGTTCAAAGCTGCCATGTGTGAATTTATGATCCATTTCATATTTATGGTAGCAAAGGTGTTCCACTTTAAGACTCAACATGGCAGTTAATCATAACCTGTCAGATCATGTGAATGCAAATGCCTGCTCTAGCCATCATGACAGGGACATAGATTTATTTCATCCTCACATCCTGTCAAGAATTTCTGCGCCGTTTGAGTCCATTACAGGCCCTTCAACACGAAACTGCAGGCTAAATTTGACGCTGAAGCCTCATTTATATAAATATTAGATGATGCTTGACACTGAGTGCCAGTACTGGTATGGCTATTGATTTCAATACACTCTTTTCTTAAACAAGCAAGTGGGGCGAAAGGTGATCGACAATGGCTTTGAATATTTTAATAGCACTGAATCTTCTGTGCTGACATTAAACTACTTTGGTATTCTTACTATCTCTGCTCACCTTTACCTTCGTTCACTTGTCTCTTTTTGCTCTCTCTATGTTTGTAAAGTGCGACGAATAGAGAGAAAAACAACAATTCATCTAACTGACAACAGATCTGCTTGACCTGTGCTTGAGGTGATGATTCCCTGAAGGGAGATAGGTGCTCTCAGACAGCATCCATTATAAATGTTTTGATTGATGAGCCTCAGTGAAAATCAATACAGATGAATGCTAACCAAAAGGATCACTGTGACAATGTACAACAATGTACTCCACCCTGCTTCATATTTTCATAATTAAGTTGAAAATTATCATTAAAACCATTTGATTAATGTAAAAATACTGGGGAATTGGAAAATGATCTCTTTATGTGTCAGTTTGGTGTCAAATACACTCATCAGGATGCTACTAATTCAAAAATTATTTTGCAAATTTTGTATTTTATTTGGCTTAACGGTTTTATGACAAGAGAGCAGAACATGTCAGAACTGCAGCTGTTTTGTAACTGAAGATATTTAGGGCAGAATGCACATCTTAATGGATGTAAAGCTATTGTTTTGTGTTCAAACATTAAAATCTCAAACGCAGAGGTGTAGAGGTATTTGTGCAAGTATGTTTATCATTACAAATTCTGTGGTTTTCTAAAAGTCCATGTTTAATAGCAATAAAGGTAGAAGTTTCACTAAAATAAAGTGGTGAAACTGAGACTGTGTTAAATAAAGAAAAAGCTAGAGATTCGCCAATCAAAGGTTTGTTTAGGCAGATTTCCATTTCTCCCTAAATCCAGAAAAAGCTTCTGTCCCTATACAGTATATGCTCAAAGAAATGAAGACATTGCCACCTTTTACATAGTTTGTTTCATTACAGTTAGCTGTTGAACATTTAATAAGGTAAAATGGGTGACTTTGCAGCATTTGTTCAGCCTTCCTGTTCTTAGCTTAAATTATGTTCCCTTTCCCTCTCTCACAACCTAAATGCATCACAGACAAGTCTCTTTACTTTAAAAATGTTTTTGGCAGAATTCAACTCTATTTTAGCTTCCTTTTTAAACATTGTTCATGTGCTGGAGACAGCTCCTTTTCAACAGTCTTTCTGCAGCAACAACTACCATATTGTTGAGCGGTGCTAGTACTATCTAGTAGCATTTAAGTTTCATATATTTACAGATTTAAAAAAAAAAAAATCAAGATTGTTTTGCCTTTGCTATCAGCTTGTCAAGTTAAAAAGCATCCAGTCTCTAGGTAAATTATCAGCTGCATTACTGGTAGAAAGAACTTTTGTGTATGTACTGCAATGGGTTGAATGAATGGTTGAGCAGCACCATCAAACAGAACCTGCAGACTCAAACTGTATGGAGAGTTGCCAACTGAATTATCTATAAACACGTTAGCCACACAATCAATCAGCAAGCACAGCAGTAAGAGCTGTCAGCGTCTTGTGCCTTGTTGAGAATAGAGCAAACTAGGCTGCGAATTACAAAAACAAAAGCAGAACGTAAAGCACACAAAAGGTGATGCCTGCAGTTTTATGTCAGAGTGTCAGCACTAAGTCCCTAAACAGCGGTGTCAGTGACAAAATGTCAATCTGTGCATCTTCAGGAAATGACTTGCATTTCGACTTACAACAAGGAAGCCCTTAGAGACGCAAGCAGATCCTTAAAAAATAAATTAACCCGGCATCCTGTGAGAGGTATCGATCAGGCAACATTCTGCTTTCTCATTGCGACTGGGGCCGTTGCAGCATAATAAACACTTAACACCCCCTCATAACTGGATGGAGAGCTAAATCATGGGTGGCAGTGTGTACTGCAGTGGGCTGCAAGGAGCTGATGATGACTAACGACAGTGTGGAGGCGGCTTTCCTCAGCTCCTTTTTTAACAGGTGGTGTTAGAAGGATCAATACCTTAATCATTATCAACATTCTTTTTAAAATTCAGAACCTCCAACATACTTTGCTCCTTCGCTCTTTCTTTTGTTTTATTCCCTTTTATGTGTTTTCCCAAAATTCGGATTATTAACAATGCAATATCATCCACTGGCAAAATCCTGATGTTCGTATAACCTGCCTACAAACAGGGGATTAATTAAAACAAGACATACTCGGGGACTTTTACATTTGGCTGCAGAAGTGAAGCTTAGAAATCAAATACAGTCAAAAATAACAACTTAACTGGAAAAAAATGACAATGGTCCAGTAGAGCTGTGTAATTATATTCATTACATAGACTAACTCTCCAGGCAGCCTATAGGTCTCACTTCCCACTGCTTCATTTGCATGCACCACGCAGATCGAACACTGAATTAATAACAATGACTCAGGAGTCATTATTCCAACACACATATTGTACTGTGGGAAGAGAAAGTAGTTGCTGCTAAATATGAAGCTTGATAAAAAAAAATAAAAAACAGGGATAAAGTTAGCTGCTGAATATTCATTACCCTGACGCAGACAGTGTCTAAGAAATCATAAAAATGTTGTTAGGCTACTACTTTTCTATTTTTTAGTAGGAAACCAAATGCTTTTGTCCGGATTAGCCTATGCTGATGAGCTGCCTTGCTTTTAACATTAACGCTGGGGTCACTGGGTGAGATAATACATGTCCTAGCAACAGCTGGGCCTGCATCTGGGGCTTCATGTAACCTGCATAAGAGCAGATGTGGGTCAGTGCCTTATATTCAGAGCATTAGCGTGGCTAAACAACAAAGCTTTATCTCAGGCAGGACATTGGATTTTCCACTCATTTATCATTGTTATTCATACCTTTAGTGAAAAATGTTGCACAAGCTGATTGGATATTGAACAAATCCAAGACAATAATGGCTAAACATGTTAGCATCTCATGAAGTGATGATGGTTCTTAATCCCTTCTGTGTTGCTGATGAGAGAGGTTTTATACATTTTTCCTACAGCTTTTTATAACACAGGTTACTTGTTTCATGACTACTAATTTTAATCTGATAATGCTGTGCATAAAATAGTAACTACAAAAAAATTTTACAATATATTTCAGTAAAAAAAAAAAAATCACACAAACCATCTTCTAGTAAAAATAGCTCATATGAATTTTTTTTTTTTGGCAGAGCCTCACAGTGAAAAAGGATGATTAGGCCAAAAAACCCCAAAAAACTTTGTTGTCTCTCCAAATAATATGAAAGCTGATTAAATTATATTATCCTGAAAACATACAGCCATGTAGAAAAGTAACATATGAAGCAGATAAAAACATCATCATCATTTCAAATCTGGTGCTTCAATATTCATGAAAACATGTCCTGGGCCTAAACCATTTATGTCAGCTGTTTTCGTAACTAGATATGTCGAGGTTCGCTTAAAGTGCCAAACCATTTTCACTGAGATTTTCTCATTGAACAATTTTGTATCAACTGTGTTGCAGAGTCTTTATCAACTTTCTTGGTAAACAAGTTTGTCATGAATAAAAATATCTTTCATCAGATTATTTATTTCAGTTATCATCTCAAGAAGTGAAACTCAAGGATAAACACTGTCAATGCACATTATATGGTGCATTTTTTCCCTCCAAATTCAAATTTTCCTTCCAACCAAACTAAGTGGTTACCTTTGAGGTGTTTATCCCTTCTTCTTTTTCGCTCAACAAATCACCTACAGTATTAGTTAGTTAAATACAGCAGTCTGTGGACATCCTGCTTCCTTAGCAATAGCCTTTTGTGACTAATGCTCTTTTTGAAGGTCTCTTGGAAAACTGTTCAGTCGAAAATAATCCCAGGGAATAAGTAGGCAATGACAACATTTCCGTTCATATTCAATACTGTCATTTTTCTGAAAAAACTTAGGTGTCTTTATCTGTTAGCCACATTTAAATGAACAAAAATAAAGACTATTTAGAAAGTGTGCCATGCACCTTCATTGGGTTTCATCAATGCATATAATTACTGAAAGAACAAACTCTCCTGGGTCAAAGGTATTGGTCGAGTGGTTTACCCCCAAAAAGGTCACCAATCCTTCACTGAGCATCAAGACAACCATAGGACACAAGACCATGCACACTCACTAACAATAATACACTATCCAAGGGCAACTAATCTGACATACAGTATTAACTTTTTGAAATCCTTATCTCCTAGGAGGCACCAGTACTTGCCTACACATTGTTTCTGCCTGAAAGGTGTGCCACAGCAAACTTTTAATAACTTCTCCATGTATCATCAATGTTAGAGGCTCAAACAAGACTTGCTCCTCATGGAGCCCGGAGCTGAAACTGTATGGGTATAGTAAGTGACACATTTATTTGG